TAAAATCCTCTTTGAACTCATGTTCTCTTTATAAATCTGTCTTGACATGTGAACAAATCATTAGACCCCATTTTAAGGATATGAAATTGGAAAAAAAATGTGAGCCTTAGTGGCATCTTCTCAGCCTCGAAGTGCAAAGAAAGCAATTCAGACAATCGATTGATTCGCAAGGACAAGAATGATGCCAGCGAGAGCGTACACGAGTTAAACGTGCAGCATAACGGGCTTTTAATTAATGCACAATAAAGGACCTCTTCCCCATCTGACACCTTTTACTCTTTCCCCCTGCCTCCATTTGCATTTCCCCCTTACCATTCACACCCACTGGCGTTATGTCAAGTGAATTTGAATCCGAATTCGTTTCGGCCCAAGGTTCCTAGAGCTCTGGCAGGCAGGCAGGCAGTGTAGGTCAAGGCCCTTTGGAAAAATGGAGCTCGTGTAATCGCATCCTGGCCATAAACTATTAACTTGCTGCTGTCGCCAACGTTTTGTGTTGGTGCTGCAGCACGCCAATGGAAAGTGGATACAGGATGCAGGCAAAAGGGAAGGATGCAGGCAGGATAGGCAGGCAGCAGCAGCAGAGGATCAGGGGTCACAGGTGCACTGTAAAATGTACTTTCTCAGATACGAGATATAAAATTTGCTAGATACAGGTGCAGTGTGTGTGGTTACTACATTATTTCCATAGATTTAGCCAAGATTGGAAGTTGGTTTTATAGAGTTAAGTATGGATTTTGTTATGATTTTCCAGTTTAAGCAATATTTTAAAGTCAAACTTCTTTATAAACTTGAAATATAGATCTTAAATCATCCATTAAGTATTTTACTTTAGTTTATGATATGTTTTCTTTGATAAAGAATCATTACCAAATAAAATGATAACCAAATCAATAACAAGAACAACTCCTAAATGCTTTAAAACTGATGAAAAATACAGCTAGATTAAAAATATTCCCCCCAAAAAAGAAACCATATTTGTTTTCCGTGCAACAAAAGAGTGAAAGCAATTTGGCACGAATTTGTCATCTCATCGAAGTGGCAACAAATTTGGCTGCAACACGACGGCAACAATGACAATAACAATAACAAGGATGATGGCAGTTACATAGTTGCAATTCGGGCCCTGAGTGCCACAAAGGGGCGTGGCATAAGGGGACATTTATGTGTGTTGTGTGTGTTGTGATGTGTGCAGCCAAAAGAGTAACCCTAATGTGTCAGTGGGGCAGGCGGCGTTACAGAGGACATTCTCGTCCTGTAACTACTGCTGCTGCTGCTGCTGCTGTTCCTGACAGTTTGCTTGCTTAGCCTCGTTGACACGTTTAGTTGTCAACTAACCCTACACACACACAATCACACACTCACCCCTTACGCACACCCGGGGGAAGGACATACACACGGATGTGTGTGTGTGTTTGTGTATAGTCCGTGCAAATCAGAAACAAGTCAAAGGTAAAACGAGCGTTGTAATAATGCTGATGGCATCCCAGAAATCGAGCCAAAAACGAGGACATCTGGGGTTAAGGGAAGTGGCTTTGCCACACACACACATGGCACACACGGCACACAAAAAATGCAAATTCGTTGGCCATTTGGTAAATTGATTTTGCCATTGCAATTGGCCAATACTCAATGAGGCTCTCCGAGTCTCTGTGTGTGTCTCCAGCGGGGAATATGTGAAATAAACGAAATGATAGCAAAACGAAGCGTTTATGTTCCTTGAAGTCTTACTTAAAGATGAGAGCACCTCGACAGGGGAATAGGATTTCAATATGGCAAATGGACAACCAGTAAGAGGATAGCCTTTTGTTCTATTGATGATTGAAACAAATGAAAGGACGGCAGGAATAATATTAGACAGCTTAAATGATAACCCAGAGATTGTGAAACTGAATACGAAAACTTTTAAATTCTCTTGGAATTTAAATTTATGTCTGGCTTTTTTGTTGGCTTAAACATTTAATTTTAATCCAAAATCATGGGATTTACTGAATTTATTCAAGCTAATTTGAATTTATTATCATGTTTTTTTAAACGATAAATTCCTGATTTAAATAAAGGTCATTAAGGAGAATCAGCTTGATTGGTTTTGTACTTAATAAATTATGCATTTAACATAATTTTTTATAGCAATAAGTTGAAGAAATATCGTTTGCATTGCCATAGAAACCACAAAAAGTAATTAATAGCTTTTATCTACATATATTTATCCGCAGACATGTCAAAATATTAATTAGCTAAATACTAATCATAGCAAATCATTTATTTGATTGAAACTAAAAACTAATTAAGTTAGCTAAACAGCTCCCTTAGAATCATTTGCGTTTGACCGCATTATGCGGGAAGCGACAAAATGGTTTTCCCGCCCGCTTTTCTAGTTTTCCCCAAACGAAACGGCGACGCTGTGCTACCCCAAAAAAAACAGTAAACAAAATTTAATCAAAGTTTGGCCGCAGCTCAAATCAAAGGCAACTCCACAATGGCCAAAGCTGGCGGCCACTTTTCCCACCATTTTCCCAGCTATTTTTCACTACCTCACTTCTCACTCCTCCCCCCTAGCTATACCCATAATCCAAGGCGATGGTGATTTACCTGGTGATGGAGATTGTTGTAGTAGCGGGTTATATATGCGGGCAACAGTTCTGCCGTCTCCAGTCCTATCCACTGGAACTCCGTCTCCGCCTGGAGTGGCTGCTGGGACATCAGCAGGACATCCGCTAGGTTAGGATCGCAGCCACAGCACCGGCAGCAGCAGCACGCATCCACGACCAGATCCGCCTCCTCCATTGGTGGCTTTATCAATTTATAATTTGATTATTTGTTCTTTGACAAAGCATTTAATTTTCTTTTCTTTTCTTTTTTGCTCTCTCTCTCTCTCTTCTCTTTTGGTTTTCCTCTTTACGGTTTTCCTGGCGTAACACATTTGAATTTAAATTGAGTTATGGCTGGCTGACAGGGGCTGCTGCAGTATCTTCTTGTGCTGCCAATTTATGAGCAGGGCCACGGCTCGTCCCCAACGCCAGGCGGCGGCATCGGCATCAGCATCAGCATCCATATCCGCAGTATCCTTGTCCCACGGAATTTGCTGGAGCTGGAGACGCATCCGGATGGTGGTTGCCATTTTGTCAATTGCTCCCATGTGGATTTTGCCGCCAAACACGTGGGCTGCTGCTGCTGCTCCTGCCTGTCGCCTTCTTTCGCTGATGGAGGTTACCGAGGTTATGGAGGCTACGCGTTGGTTACGGCGGAAACTCGCGCCCGTAATTGGCACACTCACGCACACACACACACTGACTCACTGACTCACCGGTGGAACATCTGCCGGGTCCCGGACAGCGTCCTGTTAATTGGGTCAAGCGGAGGGGAAACCCCCACGAGAAATAGACTCACCGCGGCTCAAACTAGAACTCGTACCGAAAAACTCTGACTCAAACTCAAACTGAACTCGACTTGACGAAGGTTTTTCGGCCACAATACTCCAGAGAAATGGAGGGACGACGACGACGACGCGGCGGAGGAGGAGGAGCAGGAGGAGAAGGATGGCAAGGACGAGAAGGACGAGAAGGACTCGTTAGCCGCCATTTTCACACATCAGCGGGCAAGTGGCAAATAAATCCGAGGCGTATAAATCCGCCGACGTTCCCCAGCGGCGACTGCGCCGCAAACTAAACTGAAATCTCGGGTGCGCGCTTTTTGTTTAAGTCAATCACGAGTGCTCCGTTGTTGCAACGTGGCCAACAGTGTTGGCCATGCATAGTTGTAACTAGGTACAGGAAGTGCCTGTACCTAAATATGGGTATATAAGTGAATATTACCACATATTTAAGCTTTAAATAGGGTTTCAGGTTACTTTTAAGCTCTTAAGAGAGCCGAGAAGACTAGTTTTCTTTAGGGAACTATTAAGAATAAAAATATGTATTTGAATGTGCATTGCCAGACCTCTTTTAGCACATGGACAGATAGAATAGAATGTAAACAAGGTTCAACTGCAGTTCCACTGTGATATTGTGAATCAATTAATCACTTTGAAAGTTAAATCGATATTTTAGACCTAGATATTGTTTAGACAATATGAAAAAACAAAGAGATTTGAGATTTGTAAAGGAAAAGTGGTCTTCGCCAGGCTTTTTTAACACCCAAGTCAGCTATTTTTTTAAGAAATTACAGAAAGGAAAGCAAAATGAATTTACAAACTAGAAAGGAAACTAACTTCGGGAAGTCAAAGTTTATGTACCCTTACAGTTTGCTATTGAATTAAAATTCAATTCGCCGTTTGATGCTGATCAAGAATATATATGATTTATAGTGTCGGGAATGACTCCTTCACATCGTTGCAAGCTTGTGACTGAAATTAAAATACCCTGCAAGGGTATAATAACCCAAATTTTGTAATACCTTTATAAAAGTCATTATCAACATTAAAGCGGACTACAAATATCCAAAGAAAACCTTTCCCAGTCATATTATCAATGTTTTACTGCACTTTTACTACTTTCTTCACATAATTGTACCGCTGCTTTAAACAAGTTAACTTCTCAGTTAACAAACATAAAATAGTACCCTTTGGCATCACTGCAACGCACCCAGTGGGTTAAGAGGGAAAGAGAGGGGCCGACTCAAAGCGAAAGAGAGGCCAAACTGCAGTTTGCTGCAATTTGCAGAGAGAGACAGAGAGAGAAGGAAAGAAAGTAGTTGAGAAAGAGAGAGAGAGAGTGGTGGAAGCTTTGCAGCATTCAGTTGGACATTGGCATTGTTGTTGGCACTGCAGCCCTGGACAGCAACATCCTCCACCTCCCCCCTGGTTGGGAAAGCATCCAAACCCATTTTCCACCTTCCCCAACCCCCGCTGAGCTGTGTATATAGCATTAACACATTCGTTCATCGCTTTCATCGTTGGCCTGCGTTTTCCTGCAGTTGGTCATATTTTTTGTTTGCAGATTTTTCTTTCACTCCTTGGGCTTGATTTTTTCCTGTTTTTTTTTTTCTTTCCTTTTTTTTTGCAGATTGCTTGGATTTATGAAAATGAGACTGGGCTTGCGTCACACAGGCACACAGACAGAGTCCGGAGAGGGGGAGAGGAGCAAAAATAAATAAAAGAGGGAAGCCAGGAAAATCAGGAAAAGCAGCAGCAGCAGCATCGCAGAGGCGGCGCAAAAAGTGTAGTCTGCTTCAAGGAGCAATTAACGACAGTGGATGGCACAGAGTTATGTTATAGCACTGCGTCCATATCACACTCAGCCAGTCCCAGTTCCAGTTCCAGTCCCAGCAAAGACCACAGCACCACCACCACCCACCCATCCCACTCAACCCACGGAGGAAATGTTCTTTATACCCTAGAACAGGAGGGGGTAAACCAATGAGGAGCTTAGGCCGAGTCTGGCAAATAATTGGATACTCGTGGGAGGATGAATCCTTGCGCACATAAATACTCCGGCGAGTTGTCCTTTTCAAGTTCTTTGACTGGGCCACATTAAAGCCCACTTTGATGAGTGCAATTCTGATGAAGAGCTCCGCTTGATAAAGAGCCTCCTTCCTACTCTCGGAAATACACATACTTGCATTTGAATTGGAAATAGACATGTATGTCGGACTAGTCATTGTTATTTTAATGGAGAGCGTAATCCCTCTTCATATTGAACTGGTTGTAGAATTAAGTGAAGGGTTTCGAACATTAATGGGGGTTCTGTAAAAGTGCAGGGATTGTTTAGAGTCCTGAGATAATGAGGGGAAGTTACAGGGAAGTATTAGAAGAATTTTTAAAGATAGGAATTCAGAGAGAGATCTAGCTTGTAGTTGGATTAAAATGCTTTCCTTCCGTATTTTGTAAATATTTTAAGCTTAAACATTCTTTCCAGAAGTAAGTACAAGAACTCCTTGTTCTTGAAAGTATTTTCCAATTAAAAGATTTCCTTGCTGATTGAAAATTGATTACAAACCATGATTGGCAATAAATAAATGCAAGTTTAAAGTGTTTTATGACCACGTTTTTACTACAAATTAATACCAAATCGACCTTTTAAAATCTTTCATGACTTGGTTTTAATTTCCAGCATTATTCCCGTATGACTATTCAGTTAGCCATTCAATATTTGGCCTTTGAAATGAAAGCCATGACGCATTAAAAGTTGTATTCCGGTTTCATTAAACTTCTCCCAAAGCCCTCTTTATATGGATAGCCATTAGGCATGCATATTACTACTATGTTGTATCCAATAACGAATCAATTGAAATCAATTTGATTCCCCGCAGAATATCCAATAATTTTTTACGGTCCTATTTCGACCGTAAGGATATTTGATGTTTTTCATCGAGGCAAGAATTTCTACCCCCACCTATCCCTCTACCTACCCTCCGCTCTTTTTTGCTTATTTATTTTTTGTGTGTTCGCTATCGTTAAATGTTTTTGTTCCCCTTTTCCGTGAAGTAGGAAAGAGTGAAAGAGCAACGAAAGGAGTGAAGGAGCGGCGGCGAAGGAGGATGGCCATATGCCGACGTAGTCGGAACAACGATGGCCCTTGAGTCGTGTACTCGTAGCATACTTTTCAGCGCAAAAAGCCCCTCGGGAAGGAAGGAGAACCGAGCCCCAGGCAAACCCTGGCCAGTACGGATGTCCTACCTCTGTTTTCCTGCCTGCCTTTACTTTGAATGATTCTGGAAATGCTGCTCCTGCTGCTATTGCTTTAGCTCTTGTTCTGGCTCTGCGCTCTACGTCCGAATTTCATTTCGGTTTATTCTGATTAAACTGTTTATATTTGGTTGCATTAGCTGCTGTATGTATTTACACTTCGAAAAATGTAATAGCTGCTAAGAAATGATTAAGAATAACTTTAGAAAAGCTAAAATCGATGGAAAAGTTGATTCAAAGGACGAAATAAATGTTTGTAATCCCAAATCTATGGTAATTTGTTTCTTTTTTGAAAGATTTATAGTTCCCAACATCATTTTAAATAAAGGTATACCTCACAGCACAAAATGCAGTAACCTCTATTAATTTCTTCATTTAGAATGCAATTTTGATCCTTAAAAGTGTTTGAAACATATATTTACTACCCCACAGTTCTTTCTCCATTTAATTTTCTTTCCAACATTCTCATTTTCCAGTGTAATTATGTGCCTGTACAGAGCATTGTGTGTGCCACTGTATGAGTCTCTGTTTAAGCAAAGGATTAGTGACTCTGTCTGCCTCCCGAATCCTGGGAGTGATGGCCAGCAGGCACTCATTCTCCTGCGACGGCTTGTTTGCCCGCACTAAATACATTTCAAATTTGTTTAAGCTTAAGCTAAAGCGAATTGGGCAACTCGAGTGGATCGTAGATTGCTATGAACACAAAAGAGGACAAAAGAGCTGGACTCCGGAGTCCGAGCCTGTGATTGCCAGATTATTGCGCAAAAATAAAGCTTGCCACAAAATGCCCAACAGAGAGTAAGAGTAAACAAAAGGCTTTTGCTGCCAGGACTACTCACCTGCATATGGGGGGCGGCCAGAAGCTGCAGCAGCTCGTCCTTGGCATACTTGCCGCCCAGTGAGTTGCCGCCGGCGGTTGATGAGAGCAGCTCCAGGACATCGCGACTGCGTCCAACAGCCTCGGCGGCGGGCGCACGTCCATTACTGGTCACCACTGTCGCTGCGATCCGGTCGAATAGCTGCAGGAACTGGTGCAGCCTGCTGTCGCGTAACATGTCCCGCAGCACATCCGCGTCCACGTGTGCATCCTGCAGCGAATAAATGTCATCCAGGCAGTCCAAAATGCGCTGCACTGCTTCAATGCCCGCCTCCTCGTCGGCCCACTCGTCCGTGGCACCAGCTATGGGCACTGCAATGAACGGGAAAAGCTTTATAAGAATGGATTTTAAGCCGCTTATGAAATTCTACGGCTAACAATTTTCATATTAAGCCTTACATGGAGAGTTCAATATAGATTTAAGCTGATAAGCTTGCAAATTTAAACGTTGCTGTGATTTGGAATTAGTATAAATATAAATAAATAAATACTAACTATCCGCATCGGTGGCGTAAAGCGGATCCATATTGGTGCCACCGGCAATGGCCTGAACGGCGCCCTTGAGCTTGCGCCGGGCATTGTAACGCTTCAATTCCTCCACCGTGTCCGCCAAATGAGTGCGCTGCAGTTTATCCCTATCCCGTATCCATGGATGATCGAGCACCTCGGTGATGGAGAGTCTGTGATGTGGATTGGCAGCCAGCATTTTCATGACTAGATCCTTGGCATTCGCCGAGATGGACTTCCATTCGGGTGCCTCAAACTAGAATAGTTTTATAATTAATTATATTATAAGTTGCTGATGTTATTTTTCCTGATTAAAACTCACCGATAACCGACCACGCGCTATTGACTGCTGCAATCGCACTCCGGATCCCAAAAAGGGCAACCTTCCAGACAGCAGAACGTGCAGCATTACACCGGCACCCCATACATCGCAGCCCTTGCCGTACAGCCGCCTGGTCACAACCTCTGGCGCCATATAGTGCGGACATCCGACGCGTCCGTGTGTTTCTATGGTTTCCCTTGTCCCAGGCAACTGGATGGCCGATCCGAAGCCGCCCAGCTTCACGGGCGCCGAATTGTCGACGGTGGCGAGCAGTGCGCAGGCGGGACGCACGTCCCTATGCAAAATGTCGTTCTCATGGCAATAGCGGAGAGCCTCCAGGATTTGGCGCATATAGTGACTGCAAAATAAGAGTTAGATTAATATAATATGTTCTTCTCTGTATGTTTATATATAACTTTAACGTTGGTTTCGGCGAAAGTACATGATGGAAGCCATATAACTTGATTAATTGGAATACTTTTCTTTGATTAATCAAACTAGGGAAGAGAAGGACGAGTAATTAAAGCCAGTGAGCCAGTAATTGAAACGACTAATTAAAACGAGTAACTACAACGAATGGTAAGAACGAGTAAGTTTTTATACCGATAATAAACTATTTTAAAAGATTAGCAAGTTCTTTCTGACATATTGTAACAACAATTATAATAATAATAACAAAAATGATCAAAGAAATGAACTACATTTTGGAACTTGTTAAATTTGGTTATAAAATGTTTTTTGCAAGGTATTTTCGTGACACTTTGGAAACGTTAATCAACAAAATTATCTCTCATATTTCAATATTCTCTTTGATTGTACAATAATCCTCTTTCAAAGCATTCCCTTAGCACCTGTTCTTGGTATTACAAATACACATTAATTTACTATTGATACAATTACATTAATTCCCTTGTCGATTTGAGTAAAAAAGCCTGTCGCAACATGGCCAAATTTAAATTATTGATTTCCCTTTGCCGAAAACCAACGCGAATTGAAGAGATTCCATTATCCGTATCTTACCAGGCAACCGCCTCGCTGTAGACAAACCCGGCAACAGCACGACGCACAACCTCGAAGCACAGGTCGGAGCCCTCCATGCTGCAAGTGTAAAGTGAAAGGATTTTAGGGAGGGGCCGGACTGGTGGGGAGCCGGAGCTGACAACTTACAACTCGAAGACCATGTAGAGCATTCCCTCGGAGCTGTAGGTCTCCAGCAGCTCGACAATGTGCGGATGCTTGAGCATGTGACATATTGTGGCCTCGCGCTTCAGATCTGCAAATGGCGGGGGAAGGGGAAAAACAGCGGCAATTAGTTGACATTAGATGGGAGTGGAGTGAAGTCCCACCCACAACACCAGCTGGCAGTGGCACTAATGGACTTAGCGCTGACTTATGTGCCTGCCATGTATCATTTAGTCAATGGCCGGATGGCTGCGTCTCGTCCACGTTCACGTCCAGGAGGTCCTGGACGCCCTTGCACTTGAGCAATTTCTTTTTAATTGGCGTCTTGGGCTGGCAAAGCTGGCAAACACTGGCAAAATGGCAACAGCCGCCCTGGGGGCGTGCTACACGTGTGGCAGCGGCATAATTTTGAATAATTGAGCAGCTTAATTATAATTTATTCACACAGCTCTGGAGCCGGAAAACCAGGGAACTCGAAACCGGGAAACCGGGAGCCAAGGGCCAAAAGCCTGGAGCCAAATCAAACAAGGTCGCTCTCTCAAAAAAGGAGATATATATATATATATAAGTTTACTATATAGACTTACCCGCTGTGCTCAGTCCGGGACTCGCTGTGAACTTGGCCACATCGACGATTTTGACAGCAAACTGCTGATTGGACTCTCTGTGTATGCATCGCCTCACAATGGAGAAAGGTCCTCTGCAAAAAAGGAAACGGTATGAGAGTGAATTCGGATTCGGATTAAACTCCAATTGGAAGTTGATTGTGTCTAAATTGGTGGCGTTGAGTAGGAGGTGAATAAAATTTTATTGTTCTCTGGCTAAAAACGAAAAATTCGTTTATTGAGAGCATCTAAGAGGCAAATAACATTCTTGGCAACAAAGAAAATACTCAACTATCTTGCGGATTAAAGTTTTGAGGATTAAGAGTGCAAGTTTGAAGGAGAAGTTCTTTAAAATTGAAGTAGGTTTTCAAAGTATATAGTTTATTTTACCAAAATTAAAGTAAATCCCTTAATTGATTTGTGTTTGAAGTGATTAATAAGTAATAAACCGCTTTAGGATAAAGAAAATTATCAAAAAAGCAAAATCCCAAGCTTTATTTAATGCAAAGTTTAACCGAAAATATAAAGTGCAATTGAGTTTAAGCATTTCTGATTCACAGATTCACAAATTTATAAATAGTTTCTCCTAAAATTAATTACTTATAAATGCCTAGATCGACAGAATCATAAATATTCACTTAACACTTCATTGAATATAGCTAAAAATCATAACGATTTGGCACATTTTTAACATAATAGAAATACTTTTCCTGCAATTTTCTCTCACAAAACCAAAACTAAATCGCACAAAGTTCAACTTTAAAATGGAAACAACTTTTCCTGAATGGACCTCGGCAAGGACTCTGGTGATGATCACATGGAAAGTAACTAACAAAGCTCTCCAAATATTTG